GGGGCCAGGGGAGCAAGCCAGTAAGCAGCGTTCCTCCATGGCCTGTGCTCCAGCTCCTGCCTCCAGATTCCTGCCCTGAGTTCCTACCTTGGACTCCCTGATGAACTGCCACCTGGGATGTAAGCTGAATAAACCCTTTCCTCCCCAAGTTGGTATTGGTCAGAGTATTTTGTCACAGCAATGAAGAACAAACTAAGACACATATTATTTTACAAATAATATATGGTAGAATTATCTAATTTAAAATAAGTTGCTCCCTGCTAGCAGGGACCATCTTGGCATCTAGTGGTCTTCAATGTATATCGACAATACTTGACACACAGATGCCCAATAACAGTCTGTTGAGTGAACTTTCTCTACTAGTGAGAGAGAGAGAGAAGGTATGGTGGTTGGAATGGGCAATGCTTCTCCATAGTCTCCATAGCACAGGCTCTGAGTATCTACATACTTGGTCCCAGTTGGTGGTACTGTCTGTGGAGGCTGAGGAGGTACCACCTTGCTGGAGGAAGAACATCACTGGTAGTGGGCTTTGGGAGTTCATAGTCTTGTCCACTTTCACTTTGTCATCTCTGCTTCCTGTGAGTACATGAAGATATAAGCCCTCGGCTTCCTGCTCTGGCCACCTCTGCAGCCATGCCACTCCACATAATGGACTCATCCTTCTGGAACTGTAAGCCAAATAAACTCTTCCTTCTACAAATTGCCTTGGCCATGGTGTTTTATTATAGCAACAGAAAAGTAACTAATATATAGTCTTACTATGTAGCCCTGTCTGGCCTGGAACATACTACGTAGACCAGGTTGGCCTCAAACTCTGATCTGCCTGCCTCTGCCTCCTAAGTTCTGGAATTAGAGGTGTGCACCATACCCAGCTTGAATTAATTAATTATATGCATATAATATAGACTTGCCAAAAATACCCATGTGCAACTTAGTAAGGTTCTGAGCAAGCAAGTCTTAAGAAAGTTGAAAAGTTGGGGCCAGAGATGTTACTCAGTTGGTAAAGTGCTTATTTAGCATGCATGAGGTCCTGGGTTTGAGCCCCACTACTTACATAAAACGGAGTGTGGTGTTGTACACCTGTGATCTCAATACTTGGGAAGTATAGGTAGGAGGATCTGTGGTTCAAGGTCATCCTTGGCTATGTGTAGTGAGTTTGAGGCCAGCCTGGAATATGTGAGCCTGTCTCAGAAAAGAAAAGGGAAGTGGAGAAAAGTTAAGGAATGAAGCAATGTTAATTCCACGAGGGCAGAGACTGCACTGTGTGGCTTCTCTTAATCCCCATTGCATGGCCAAGTGATGGCATTTAGTAATATTTATAGTAATAGCAATTTTGTTAATGATACTAAATAGATATATGGGATTTATTAATACTTAAAAACTTTTCAGCTGTGGCAAGAGCTTTATACAGTTCACAGATACATACTTTGACAAATCTATAGGTAAAATTTAAATGAATATATAACTATAGACACAGAGCTTAAAGAGAACAATTTTAGAAAATGCTAAAACTTACATGAAAATAAGTAGTAATAACCTTAGAGGTAAAAGTAAATAAAAAGGATTAAAGGAAAAGGCTAACATTTCAAAAGAAAAGCAGGCATCTCCCCAAAGAAGAAACATAAAAAAGCCAATAAATGTATGAAAGATATTGATCCTCGGTGAATTCGTGGACATTAAAGGAAAACAAAGACACTTTTTTCTTCCATCAGATTGGCAAACAACAAGACTGGGAACTCCATATCATCAAGGGCATGAAGAAAAAAGAACAGCTGTGTGCTGCTGGGGGGAGGAGAACGCTACACACTTGGCAATTTGAATTTAAAAATTAAATGTTACCTCTTTGACTAGGAAGAGTCAATTCTTCCAAATCCACTTGGAGGAATTTATTTTAGAAAAATATTTGGACAAGTTAAAAACATACTATGAGATTGAAATAGTAAAGGACGCCAAGTAAGTAAAAAAGAACCCAACTAAGGATTGACACTCATACCATGCCACGCAACCATGAAGGTCTGTGTTCACCTGGAAAAGTGTTCACAGCTTATTAAGAAGCTGGCTACAAGATGGAAATGTTCTAAAACTGAATTGTGCTGATGGCTGCAAATTCTGTAAATTTAGTAAAATCGTTGTATTCTTAAAATGGGTGAGTTGGAGGGAATGTGATTTATATACCAGTATAGTTGTGTCTTTAAAAAGTTGACTACAAACTAGTATATCATTATTTTGTTTAACACACACACACACACACACAATATGTCCAGAAGGATATATCCCCCAGTAACAACTGTGGCAACCTGGTAGAGGTGGTAGTTTGGGTGGGGAGGGCCATCTGAAACACACCAGATGACAAGCAGGTGTGTAAAGTTAACCAACATTAACTTATCAACATCAAATATATAAATGGCCATAGTAGTCTTTGCTCAGGTTTTTTTTTAATATATATATTTTTTAATTTTGTGTATGAGTGTATCGCCTGCATGTATGTGAGTGCACCTGTGTCATGCAATGCCTCAGAGGTCAGAAGAGGGCTTCAGATTCCCCTGGAACTGGAGTTAAGGATGGTTTGTAGCTGCCATGTGGGTGCTGGGAATCGAACCCGGGTCCTCTGCAAGGGCAGTCAGTGCTCTTAACCACTGAGCCATCTCTATAGCCCCTTTGCTCAGGTTTTTAATAATTTGACCCCTAACCTTCTGTTCTGGCATCTTATTTCACTATCTTTCCCTGTAGCTTATCTTTAGGAAAACTGATGTTCCAGGCAGCTAGAAGCAGCAGTGTTATTCCCAGGGCTGGGAAGACTCGAATTTCCAGTCAGAACATTCTCTAAAGCCTCTTCTGGAGCTCTAGCGGAAATTCCCAAGAGCCCTTTCAGCTCATATTGGTTCCCATTTTAATCCTGGGAATCATTATGCTAAGGCTGAGTCTCCAGGGCCCCTCAAAGAGCTTTATTTCAAGTGAACTAATTTTATGTCTTCCTTAGATAACTACAGGTGGTTCTAAGTGCAGCTGGGGGGCAATCACTGGTCCATGAGAATCCTTCAGGTAGTCTCCGGAATTAACACTCAGATATGCATGTCTAGTTTTCTGGCTTTGGCCTGAAGTTAAAACTGAAATGTCATTGAATGCAATCCAGATATGACCTCACCCATCCCTCATCCAGTGCAGAGCTATGCATCATCCTGCCAATTGCTCTGCAAGGGCAAGTAGGAATAGGTGGATCCGAAGGTGCTTGAAGAACTAGGCAAGCATCATTCTGTGACCATGCTAAGACTCAGATGTGCCTAAAGGAACCTGAAATGAACAGCCATGACATTCACAGTGTCCAGGCCAAGGGAGAACTCTGGGAAAAGCAGAGCACCATCAAATCTGAGAAACCGTCAAAGGGTAATGAATTCTTCCCCAAAGCTTTCAGAATCCGCATTAATTTGGCAAAGCGAATTGTGAGCATCATCCAGCAGCCCTGGAGACTGAGACTGCCAAGTGTTTATTGCCAAAGTAAAAGGAGAAAATTAAAAGTCCTTGCTTAACCATAGCCGCAGTGTCAGCTGCATTTTCAGGAGAATGAGATAAAGCAAGGACTCTGCTAACACCAGATGCAGGCAAGGAGCTATGCCTCAGTTTCCCCCATGAAACTGGGCCTGGCACCATTGGTCAGTTCTTGAAAAATTTGTTTCAGCCTAAATAAAACATGTTATCACAAAGGAGAAAAGAGTTTAGACACAAATCATATCAACATGCTTTATTGAATGTACAGTTCATTCTTCAGGAAATAGTCCACTTTTCTCCTCTACAATCAAGCTAAAACTTTGTAACGCTCAACAAAATAAACTTGGAAAATGCTGTTGTTCAAGCCAGGACTCCCAATGCAGGCAGCGGAAATGTATAGTCCCAGAAGGAATCTCAGTGATGAGGAATTAAGGGAAGCTAAAAGCCAAGTGGAAGTTCCATGGCCCTAGTAAACTGAGGAATTATCCAGGGAGACCTAACATGGCTGAACCTGTCATGGGAAGCCAGAGTCAAGAACCCATAGGCATGTGCTAGGGAGTCAGCATTCTTGGGCTGGATCCTAACTTCTCATCTAGTCAGGGACCCAGGGTGGGCTGCTGCTTCTCTAGGCAAACTCCAGTCTCCACTTCTGAAAATGGGGGTGCTGTCTCATAGGACTGCTGGGCACATGGAATAAGTCAAAACATATGAAGGAGAACCTACAAGTACTGCCTAACATATAGGAAGCTGGTATTGTGTGGAACCTTCAAGTTTTGAAACAGAGAGGAAATAACCCCCAGTTGGGGACAGTGGATGTCCCTGTATCTGATAATTCTGAAGGCTATTAAAAGGACAGTGAAAATATGCCAGGCAGGTGGCCACCAGCCAGGGTAAAATAACTCGAAGACCAATTCTCTGAGTACCTTGTCAAAAGGAGAGCGAAAGTCCTCATGGCTGTGAATACCTTCACTACTAAAGCAGATGTTCACGGGGACAGAAGATAACAAGCTCTCTGAGTCTCTAAAGGTAGGATGACACCGAGTACCCACCACATCCTAGCCAGGCTACAGTCCTGACAGGTTCAAGCCATTTATTCATGAATATGTTTTCAAGAACCATCATCACAGAGTTGGTAATCTGAACCCTCTGGAAGCTTCTAGTCTAAATTTCAAAGGGAATACATTCTGATTTTCTTTATAAAATGTGGCCCACTGGTCAATGCCACTTAATAATAAATAACCTCCATTTACCACACACTTTAATAGAGGCCTCAGGACATTATACAGGTAAGATAATTTGCTTCTACATTCAGAACAAGGGGGATCAGCACCAGAGTAAGTCCAGAAGGGGATCAGAGTAGGACAAATATAGTTTTGTGACCCCCACATAAAATCATGTGATGAACACTGTTTTCTGTCAGAATTTAGGACGGATGAGCTTCTATTAGTGTTTTTTAAAAATGCTGTATCTGACTTGGGTACCAATTTAAGGATGCCATAATAACGTCAATCATTTTTGTTTTATATGTGCATATACATACATGTTCATGTGGATATATGTATGTGTGGTTGTACATGTGGTTGTGGAGGCCAGAGGTCAACACTGAGTGTCTTCCTCAATTGTTCTCCACCTCACGTTATGAGGCAGGGCCTCTCACCAAACCTGGAGATTCCTGATTTGACTCTATAGGCTGGACTCTCCCAGCAAGTCCCCCCAGTGAGTCCCAGGGATCATTGTCTCCTCACCAGTGCTGGAATTATAGGCGTGCACCTACCATGCCCAGCTTTTTAAATGGGTGCTGGGGATCCAAAATCAGGTATTCATCCTTTTATGGCAAGCACTTTATCCACTGAGCCATCTCCCTGGCCCCCAATTTCAACAATTACTGAAAGTCTAAGAAAATATTACCAACCATATGCAGTCTTAACACTTTGGAAGCACACTGTGTCTTATTTATTGTTTTAAATGCAAAATACATTTGTTAATCAAAAATAACTGAATTGCATATAAGTACTCAATATTCTCACATAATTTAATTGATGAATTATAATCCACACGTTTCTGATTTTTGGAGGAGAAATATTACGGGACTTGGATCTGTGAAAGAATTGTGAAGAACATAAATTCACTTTAAAGACACCATGAATATTTTGGAACTCATGAGGAAAATGTTCTTAATGACTATCTTCAGGGTTGAGCAAGAAGGTAGTCATGAATTTATGTCCAGGTAGACTAAAATTAGTTATCCCTCCTAAACATGTCAGACAACAGAAAAGACAGACTCTATAACCAATAAACAACCTGGCAGAAACTAAAACCAACACAGAAAAATCACCGACATAATTCTTCCAGCCCAGAACTCTGATAACTTATATTCCACCAGGGAATTAAGAGAAGAGGAGGTTTTTGTTTTGTTATGTTTGCTTGGTGAGTAGCTTAAAGTCTTAAGAATTTCTGTATAATCTAAATAGCACCACAGGAAAAAAAAAATCCCTGAGCAACTAATGAACATTATTTATTCTAATTCCTGTTTATACCAGGTCCAATAAGACTGTTGGCCCTGGCCTTCCACTACAGAGAAAAAAATGAAAATTACTTTTAGGCTATTTACTCATTCCACAGTTTTCAACAGACTGAGCCTGACATTACAGCTCAGGATGCTCTCATTTTTCAAATGAATTCTGTACTCTCTCTCTCTCTCTCTCTCTCTCTCTCTCTCTCTCTCTCCTCTCCCCGCCCCCTCTTTATTTCCTGGTTTCCTTCCTCCCTTGCCTCTTCTCTTTCTTAAATACAAAAGCTTTTGAGGAACTAAACATATTACCAATCAGTTGCTGGGTGGAGCAAAGTACGTCCTACATCATAAAGCACCCATCTCTCAGGGAATACGAACCTCCAGGCAAGAGTAACAAGTCTGTCTCCAACATAATGACGAGAAAGCCATGACAGAGTCTGTCCAAGGGAGTCATTTGTCCCTGTTGAGTTCCTAGCCTTCTGACTAGAAAGCTATGGTCTCCTGCTCTAACTGGAATGCTTTCCTGGTTCATTTATGCAAAGAGTATATGCCTTTCTGGGAAATGCAGCAAAAAGAGTACTCTTTCAAATCACTCCAGTCTCCTGGGGCTCCCCAAATCATTCTGACAAGACAGGAAGAGAGAAGTTGGCAGGTTTCAGCGCATTAATAGCAAACAGCAAATTAGTAACTATGTTCTTTAATCTTCAACATTCATAATTGCACAAAGTATCACTGATATTTAAATAATACATGTCAAATAATCTAATGAAGAAACGAGTCAAGCAGTGCCTCCAGCACGTAAGAAACGTCTGGGAGGAGCACAAAGTGCCGAGTCAGAAGGGGTCTTCAGGAAGCTTACTCTTTTCCAACAGGGCAAAGTGCTATGGAGAAACACACATGAATATATCAACCCACCACACCACGCCAGCGAATACACAGTAATCTAATAGCTTTGGCCAAACCGACTTTCCACATATATACAGTCGTTTCTAACACTAAGATCTGATGGTGGGAATGCAAGATAGGAATGAGGGGAAACTACCCATTACTCTCAAAATAAAATCGGGTGGGGAAGTCTAATTTCCTTACGAGCCAACTTTAAAAATGGTATAACCATAACTTTGTTAGAAAGGAAAACATTTTCCTTAAAAATGTATATGTGTCAAAGATGACTGAAACTCTTGTCCATGCTAGGGGAAAGTTGAGTGTGGAAAAATGTGCATTTTTCTATCTATGCTGTAAAGAAAATAAAAAGCCAGGGCATTTGGCATTAGCAAAAGGCTGAACTAAGTTCTCAGGCAATAAATTTATGAGGAAACATGACAGGCTCCTCATTAAAACTATGTGTACGTTGGCTGAATTTTATACAAGATTCTTGAATCTTGTGGAAAATTGGGCACGGCTTGACATCTCAACAATGTCCCTGGTTTGTTTGATTTCTAAAGCATTGGAAAATGTTGCACTTTGGAAATCAAGTAGAGAAGGATAAACACATTCTGAAACAGAGCTGGGTTGAATCTGAGTTACTTTTCCATATGTCTCCATGAGATATTTATTACGTTTATTTCTCTTACAAACACAGCCCTCATAACTAGAAATACTGCGTTTCTCTCTCTCTCTCTCTCTCTCTCTCTCTTCTTCCTCCCCCGCCCTCCCTTCCTTCTTTCTTCTTTAGTGATGAGAAAATAGTACTGTCAAGGGAATCTTACTCAGCAGCAGTAGCCACCGAAGGATAGGCAATTTTCAGTTGGCTTTTCAGGCGCTGGTTGCCATGACAAAGAGCACAATTTATTCCTTAGTCCCTTATCACAGCTACGATCACAAACCATAAAAATTAACAAGGCTCTTTTCCTTTTCCCTATGTTTTCATAGTGCCTCATCTTTACCTGAGGTCTTTTGTTCCCCCAATTAAATAGAATGAATGTCAGTCATCTAGCAATTCAATTAATGCTGATTCAAAATTCCGGCCAAAACCAGAATCTACAATCACAACCTCCTAATCACAGCTCAGTCATGAGAATGAAAAGTAAGCAGGAAATTGCACTAATTACTCAATTAGACTAATACTGTATTTTTAAGCAAGGTCTAAGGGGTTGTCAGCACTGACAAAGGACTTGAGTCCTCCTCACCTGTGTCCCCCTTGCCCGAGCCAAGCTGACGCTTTCAAGTGAGCATGATTTCTATCCATCTAACACTGACTCAAGTCAGCAATGGAAATTTTCACTGCTCTATGGCTCACAAACGAGGGGCAGCTGTGGTGGGCTTCCAGGGCTCTCAGCACAGGCCAGTAGGATACCAGGGCCTTCTTGTGCTGGGCCCTCCTTCTGTTGTGAGGTCAACTGAGCGTACACGTTTCTGGTCCCAGGAAACCATTTAACAAGGAGGGGATCATTCAGTAAGCATACAGCTTCTCTGATAAACTGTAAAATAGAGCCATGTTCATAGACCCCAGTCTCAAACTCCCAACAGAGCCTGCAGCATGCTGGGCCAAGCGTGACTCAGCCAGCCACCTGGTCTGGTGTGGGGCCTCTGGGCTGCAGGAAGCAAAACTCATCTGCACCCCTGCGGGACAGTGGCCTATGCCAGACCCACCTGGAGAATCTTTCATGAAATCAACAGTAAATGAAAAAAACTGGTTAGGAAGAACATACCAGCAGATGTGACTGAAGTATTTACAAAACAACACTGGTTATAGACCAAACAAGCTGAACCTTAGTTAAAAAAAAAGAATCTTTCTTTTTTTTTCCTATTCAATTTCAAAAGACTTGGATATTCTGTAAACAACAGGGAGGACACTAGAGCCTGTTGGGCCTCTGGTTTTTGTGGTCATCTGTCAAAATCCTTCCAGAGCTGAAGGGAGAGGAGCTGCAGGCAGGCAGAAGGAGGTAGACCTAGCCTAGCTCACATGTTGTGGCCTTTTCTCTACAGCAGTTTCTGGAAATGACCAACTTGGGAGTGCTCAGGGATTCTGAAAAGAGGGGAAACATTTATTTGACTAAGTGAGACGACGTCTTTACTTCCAGGGTTTGCCTTGCAGGTGGCCACTATTGAGTGCGCGGGGGTTTGAGTGGCCAGCAGGGCCCCCAGAAGGCAGGTTCTGACCACTGCGGGCAGCAGGCATCTTCGAGTCTCTTCCTGCTGAGTTACTTTGGCTCAGTCGGCCTGAAGGGAGCAAGAAAAAGGAGCAGGGCTGCAAGAAGGCTTCCAGGGACACTCCGCCAAGTACACTTTTAAGCTAATGAAGTCCTTGTCTACAGCTACTTTTACGCTAATGAAGCCCTCTGCAGCATCTGCTGTGGGCCATTGATGACCTACTTCTCATCTTTGAGATCAACTTGATGTTAGGGAGGGGGTGGAAATGGAGGAAGCACCGATTTAGCTTCTCTCCTTCTTCTCCATTATTCTCAACAAATCTAGTCTTTCACTCCCTCCTCTGTAAGAAGGTACAGGGTGAGAGGCAATTAGGAGAGGGAGAAAAGAAAGCAACAGGCAGAAAAGAAGGCCAGAAGACCAACGAGGGGGACCCTGGGCAGTTTAACTACCCAGAAGCAGCAGAAGGAAGGGAAACTCCCAAGAAGGAATGAGATGCAGTAGGCCTTACTCCTGACTCCTCAGCTCTGCCTGGCCAGATGCTCTGGTTGTCATCAGTGCCCATTTCTTGTCATTAGCAGTGATCCTCCTCCCAACTATTTCCTGTGTCACACATAAAACCTCAAATATTTTAAGAATCTGGATATAAAGATAAGCTTTTCATCTGGTAAGGTGATATTCAAAGATACATATCTCAAGTGCCACCAAAAACAAAGGTCAAAATATCTTACTTGGGTTGTCTGTAGGACCCTGATCCTCTTCCAGATAATATTCTATCTTTTTTAAGTCTTCTGGGGTAAATCTCCACTTGTTCTCAGCTGGCAGGGGTGGAACTTTGGGGCTGGATCGTTTCCGGGCAGAACCAGGAGGCAGGGCCTGCTGGCAACAGGCTGGCAGGGAACCAGTGACCAGTCCTTCTGGGAATTTCTGCGCTAAGACTTTCAGACCTAGTAGAGGAGACCATCAGAAAAAGCTGGATTAACATGGTGAGACCATACCAATCTGGAGGCCTGTGTGTCTTCTAGTCCTTCACTACATTGAGGCCAACAAAAGGACACGAAGTCTTCCTTAACTACGTCTTCAGAATGCAAATTACACTAGAAAATGTCAACTAAGAATTGCACAGGAAATCCTTTGCTTGCATTTTTAGAATTCATATAGAACCCTACAGCAGTACCAGTACCTTAAGAATTAAAAACATCTGCTAGCTGATGTCTATAATCCCAGCATTCAGAATGTTGATGCAGGAGGGTCATGAGTTTGTGGCCAGCCTGGGCTATGAAGCAAGAGCTTGTCTCAAACATGAAATGAAACGAAACAAACAAACAAATCCCCAAACAAACAAAACCCACAGTGAAAAATGAACAAAACTTCCAAACAACTAAATCCACCCAAATGTGCTGATAGAGCTAATAGACATTTCACATGGTTTTCTCTCTTTGCCCAACTCTAAGTTCTGAGCCCTGAAAGGTGATAATGTGGGTTTGCAGGACTGTTGAGTCCAGAGACCTGACTTACTAGGCAGATTTCAGCTTTGCTCACCTCCAGAAAGCATGAAGAGGTTTTCAAACCCACGCTCACACATGGTGGTGGCTGCCTGGCTGGCCAGTCTCTCATCATCATCATACAGAATGATGATCTTGCCGTGAGCATTTTTCTGTGAGGTGAGTTAAGGTTCCAAGCACAGAGCTAAAGCTTCTAGATTACAAGAAACACTGAATTGTCAAGGTTCATCCCTCTGAGTACACTGAGAAGCTCATTCTTATCCACGGCCTTTGCTGTCAGAGACCACACAAGCTGGTATTCTCTCCTTTTAGGAACTAGCATTACCTTAGTCCATGATGGCACTAGTTAACATTTGCTAAATCTTGTAATTCTTTCATCTTTACAACACTAGAAAGGAACCATCACAACCTCCATGTCCAATATACCCATTGAAGGCTTCCTTACCATAACTCAAAAGTAGAACCACCTAAAAGCCCCCAAATAAAGAACAGGGGACTGAGTAAATTGAGGATGAGGTATTATACACCATCAAAAATGGAGTTTACCAGCAGCTTGGATTAACATAAGGAAATACACAGTAAATTACAAATGGAAATTACATCTATAGTATGACTTCAACTTTGTGAAACAAAATTACACACATACACATAGAAAATAGTCTGGAATAAAATATACCAATAATGTTAAAAAAGTTGATGTTTGATTGTATGATTATAGATTTTCATGTTGTTTAATACTTTCCAATATTTATTTTCTACTTGTATGACTTTTATGAATGGAAAATTAAAAATGTAAAAAGAAAAAAATTATAGTAGAAAAATATTTACTTAAGCTCTGCTTGGTTAAGCATTCTGGAGGGCCAAAAGTCCTAGGACTAACTCTTGACAACAGATCATAACCCTTAATCTAATGCTTTGTGGCCCTGTGCAGATTTGGAAGCATGTGCCTTAACAGTTAGGATTCTGAGTAGCTGTTAGGTATCCAAAACCTAAAATATACAAACCTGGTTAGTGCCAAAGATCCTTTTCAATTTTCATAGCAGAAGCATAGTTCATGATACTCTGGGTCTTACAACAAAGGATACGTACTCAAGAATATCGTTTGAATAGGGGTTCATTGTCCTGGATAGAGTTGCAATTGGGTAACTGTAAGCTACAAAAAGAAGAAGATTAGGAAGCCTGTAGTGCTCTTACAATTTGGCCCCACTTCCCAGCAGGCTTACAATCCAAGAGGTAAATATATTTTCAAAATCAATGAGCCATAAACCTAAACACTTCATGAAAGAAATGAAAAGGGCACCACGAACAAAAGAGGAAAACTTGGCTTTACTGTCTGAGCCACCAGAAATCAGCATCCTTGGAAGATGTGATAGCATCAACTTGAAGGGTTGAGCACACATATACACACACAGTTTCCTTAACTGTGGACCCTGCACTGGTGTGAAGCTTTCCTGGAACAAGGACAGGCTCTGCGCCTGGGAGTTAGGCATGCTAAGGCTCCTCTCACCTCCAACAATGTGGCCCTGCTGGTAAGAGTCTCGATCACGCACATCTAGCAGCAGGAAGGGGCAGTCCGTATAAGGCTTGTCTTTGGTGTTGGGTTCTTCTTTCTTCACTAGCCCTTTGTCTACATCCAGTTCCCCAACACCACTGATGACGCTATATGTGGAAAAGTAGGTCAGTAGAAACTATCAGGGGTTAGAGGCTTAAAGGTCAAACACATTTCTTCAAATGGTGAGATGAGTGCTCATCTTCCCAAAAGGCACCTCCAAGAAAAGGTAGATGGCTCAAATGCCTCAGTTCTGCCTCCAAAGGCAGGAGCCTATAGATTCCTATTCTGTCACACTGAACTCCAAGAGGGGATGCATGCATCTATCATTACCCTCAGAAAATGCATGCCAAATCTCACAGGGCTGAAGGGTAGATACTATAGGGTACATGCTGTCTCCAGCAACAACAGCAGCATGTAGAGAAAGAGGAGATTGTTCAATAGGATTTTAAAGAATAAGAAAGCAAAATAAAGGGGAAAAGAATAAGGCTGACAGGACAAGAGATGTGTAAGAGATTTCAATGTATATTAAATACAATATAAAGTATCAATAATGTTTCATATGTTCCATATAGTCACACACCGTGTGACGACATTCCAGTCAAACATGGATGGCATATATAATGACAGTTCCATAAGATTACACTGCCGAGTGAGATTGTAGCCATTTTGGTTTGTGTAAGTACACTCTGTGATGCTCTTACCATGAAAAAAAATCATCTAATGACATATTTCTCAGAATGCTCCATCATTAAGTGATGCATGACTGTACTTATACAATGACCTATCTTATATGGACACTGAACCTTATTTTCAATAGTTATCTGTACTTATCCAATTTACACAGGCTAATAAAGAGGTTGAAGAGGCTTTTAGAGTTAGTGGCAGTCATACAATGAGACAGAGGAAGAGCTGGGATTAAAATACAGGAGTTCATCACTGACAGTTCTGTTTCTAAGGTCATTAAAATATTAGTTTCCATCTTAATATTATAGGGAAAAACATCAAAGGACTAAGACAAGGTGTTATAGATAAAATGATAGGTAGTGAACTACTGAATGGAGTAATGGAGTAAGAAGATGGCTATTTCCCTAGGATATATTAGGATTTTCCTTACCAGAGATTAGTATGAAGCATAGTTCTCCCACCACAGAACATCAGCTTCTGAATTTTAATTCAATAAATACTATGACTCCATGCTACATAGTACACATGTCACTGAACCAAAGGAGAAGATCTATCTGACATGAAGCTGCACCCATGGTGGAAGTACTGGTAGCCTATCTTCTTTTGAATGCATTTTTAATAAGTCCTTTCACAAAGGGAGCTATGAAATAACAACAGTGGTCCCAGTGACAGTAGCGCTCTCAGTGGGAAAATCTAGCTTCTCTAGCAGAAGTGTTTCATTGGGAGAAGGGATGGATATGTGATAAAAACTGGCACCAATCATAATCATCAGTTACTATTTGGGAGAAAGCAATGCAGGAAACAAGGCCCTTGCAAGTAGACAGGACCAGCCATGTGCAGTAAATCAATGCCAATGGCTGGCATCAGTCTCCAGATTCTCAACAGGACAATTATAAGGTACAGGAGACAGGGCAACATTCATACTCAGGCTACCTAATACTTATAAAAAAGCTACATCCTAATATCAAACCTAGATTTGGAAGCTGAGAAGAATGGAATTGAAGAGTGAAAATCAACACTCTCCTGGTCATATATGTGCACATCACCTTAGTAAGAAGTGAAAACGACTCAGGAGACAGCACTTACACCAATGAAAGCAGAAGGGCTGGGACTGAACATGGGGTAGCACTGCTGCCAGTTCTGTTTCAAAGGTGATCCATCACTGGAATGTGCCACTAGAATGTGGGAAGGAACAATGCAGTGAAAATATGAACCCAATGCCAGTACCTCTGCAGAGTGGAGCGACTGGAGTCCCCTGCTCCAGAGATGTTGATAAACTGAACAGGGCTGGGTGACTGCTCCCCAGGACTCCCTTTCCCATTGGTTCTGGCAGCGATTTCAGCATCAGGCACTGAATTTGTAGAATCATTGTCTAAAATTTGCAACAAAGAAATAAGTAGGGCCAGTGAGATGAGTCAGTGGGTAAAGGCACTTGCTGCCAAGCCTGACGACCTGAGTGTGATCCTTCGGACCCACAAGGTGAAAGGAGAAAACCAGCATCCATAAGTTGTCCTCTGATTTCCACGTGTCCATTATGGCACACGTGTTCCACTCACATCTACAAATAAATGTAACTTAAAAAAATCTAAATAAATAAATGGAACCTCAGGATTTGAATTTACTTAAGTATTTGCATTGATACGAAGTTTAAAAAACTATCATTTATTACTAAATTGTTCTACAAGTTCTAATACAAGGCATTCTCAAAAGACCTTGAAATGGATAGGTAGGAGCTCTCCAAGACCCTTTCATGCTGTCTGCAAAGTGAAAACTAGTTTTTAAGATGTTATTTGTCTTTTTTTAAAAAACTGTGCTGATATTTGCACTGATGGTGCAAAAGAAGCTGTAAAAAATGCTAGCACTTCAGCAGGTGTCGGGGCAGGGGCACCAGAGTTACGAGCAGGCATATTTTTTCACTGTTGCACATGCTCTCGCAGTAAATAAATATGGCGGCCACACTAAAAAGGGTCCCTGATAGAGCAATGATTAATAGTTTTTATTACATCTCACCTTGAACAGTATGGTGACTCACAGCTGTACCTCCTAGTACCTGGGAGGCTGAGGCAAGAACACTGCGAGAAGTCCGAGACTTGTGCCACATAGTCAGTCTTAAGCCAGCTCGAAAAGAGACCAACCTCACCTTGAAGTAAGTACATGCCTTTGGATTATTCTGTGTGATGAAAGAGACCCACATACAGGCCAGTTTGTTGTACCTACATACTGTGGGCATCTCAAGGAAATGTATTTGAATGATTGCTAGGCTGTAGCTGGGTCAGCCATTTTTGCCAGAGGCATTTTTTTCTTTCTTTTAAAAAAAGATTTTATTTTATTTTTAATTATATGTACGTGCATATGTATCTGAGTGGGTATGTGAACAAGAGTGCAGGAGCCCTTGGAGGCCAGAGGTGTTGGAGCCACCTGGAGCTGGAGTTACAGGTGATTGTGAGCTGCTCAATGTGGGTTCCGGGAACCAGGTCCTCTGCAAGAGCAGTACATGCTCTTAATCACTGACCAATCTCTCCCACCCCTACATGCATCTTGGTTTAAAAAATATATATATATATATAGTTACTTAGTAATTTTCTTGAGACAGGGTCTCCCTGTAGCCCTAGCTGGCCTGGAAATCACTATGGCGACCAGGTTAGCCTCAATCTCACAGAGATCCACCTGCCTCTTCTGGGATTAAAAGTGTGTGCCACCACACCTAGCAGACTTGTATATTTGGGAGACATTGTCTCAAAGATAAATTAAGTAAGCATCATTAAAGAAAATTAATGTTCTCTTCTTAAATAAACAAATGATAGCATTTGTTGTCAGTGGTTAAATGCTGCGCAAAACCCAGAATGTTGGAATCTGTATTTGGCATAAGGAGGTGAAGTATGAGGAGCCTCTTCCCCAAATTTAGAGCCATTGTTAAGCACCAGGACACAGCAAAATGATGTTTCCAACCAGTGTATGATAGGAAATCATACACAGGTAAAGGATGTGCTCAAAGTGCAAGACAGACTAAAGAATTTTTAATATAACAGAGTATAAAAAGTTCATTAAAAAAAAACAATTCATTGATGGGGGTCAGAGTCCATGTTACAGTGAACCCTTAAGAAACTATTAGCTGAGCAGGTGATATACACCTGTGATTCCAGCAGCAGGGTTGTGAGTTTGAGGCTAGGCTGGCCTACATGTAGATGCCTTGTCCCAGAAAAGCAAGAAAGGAAAGAAAGGGAAGGATGGAAAAGAAAGGAGACAGGAAAAGGAGGAAGGGAGGGGGAAGAAGGGAAGAGGGAAAGGAGAGAGGAAGGGAGGGAGGGAGGACAAACCAGTTGCCAAGTTTTAGCGTAGTATCAAAGAAAAAATACAAATTAATTGAAAGGGCTAGTGAAACACTTCTTCCAATGCCCATGTGAGCCAGACTCTCTTCATTCAGTTCAACACAAGCAGCACATCACAACAGACTAAATGCAAAATCAGTATCAGATTTAGTTGTCTTCTATTAAATCAGACATGAATGAAATTTATAAAATACATAAAATAAAGCCACTTGGTAAAATTTTGTTTGGGAAATATAGTGATTTTTCATAAAAATATATTTTTATGGGCTAGGGTGTAACTCAGTGGGAGAACACATGCTTAGCATGCATGCAGCCCTGGATTTGATCCCCAGTATCATACACTTTATTTTATGTGTATGAGTGTATTGCCTGCATATATGTAAGTGCACCCATGTCGCACAATGCCCATGGAGGTCAGAAGAAGTGTTGGAGTCCCTGGAACTGTAGTTATGGACAGTTGTTAAGCCTCATGGGTGCTGGGATTTGAACTCGGGTCCTCTGCCAGAGCAGCCAGTGCTCTTAATCATTGAGTCATTTCTCCAGTCCCAGTACTGGTATTTTTATGTGAGGTAATAAATATTGTTTAAGTTCTGTTTAAGAATTGAATACAGTAAATTTGAACAGATACAATTCACATATGCCTAAGCTCCTTGGGGGTCTTCAATAATTTTTAAGAGTGTAGAAGAAGATGAGGTGACAAAATTTGGGAATTTTCTGTTCTAAGAAATACAGGGAAAGAGAAAAAGAGAAGAAGCCTAATTATTATGGTAAAATTCAATTTGCAGGGGCTGGAGAGATGGCTCAGCGGTTAAAGAGTACTGACTGCTCTTGAAGAAGACCTGGGTTCGATTCCCAGTACCCACATGGCAGCTAACAACCATCTGTAACTCCAGCTCCAGGGGATCTGGTACCTCTTCTGACCTCTGCCTCACTGCATGACATAGGTGCACTTGTACACATGCAGGCAATACACTCATACACATAAAAATAGTAAATAAAAATATTTTAAAATTTTAATTTGTATATGATATGATACTATATCTAGAAACTTCAGGAGAATACTAGGACAAGGACAAACGAATCTGTGGTTTTGATTTAACACTGGCGTTAGTTGGGGTTGGGCCGGGAGAGAAAAAAAAGTGCTAACACACTATATACTGACTAGAAAACATAAAGATGCTTTTTTTTTTTTTTTTGTCTTTTTGAGACAAGGTCTCCTTGTAGCCCCAGCTGGCTTGGAATTCGCTATGTAAACCAGGCTGGGCTGGCCTCGACCTCACAAGGATCTGCCTGCCTCTGCCTCCCATGGGCTGGGATTAAAGGCGTGTGCCGCCATGCCTGGCTTTGTAAAGATGATTTTCTTACATTTACGGTAACTGCAGTTATAAAACATACTCTCCTAGAAACACTACTAAAACATGTGTAAAGTTTCTACTAAATACTTCTAAGTCCTTTAAGGAACTTCTGCAGTTTTATTCAAAGTCTCAAAAAAGACCTCAATGAAGAGGGTATCACGAGTTGCATATTCCTGGTGGGATGAATCAAAGTAAAATGCTGCAATCCTTTCCAAATTCAATTTCATCCTTAATACTGATCTCAATGGGATTTTTAGAAAAAAAATTTCAGAGCCAGGCCTGGTGACTCGGTTCTGTAATGCCAGTAATTCAGGAAGCTGAGGCAGTTGGATCACAAGTTCAATACCAGCCTGAGCAACTTAGTAAGATGCTGTCCCATGGATAACAACAACAAACCAGGCTGGCATGATATAGTTCAGTAGTAGGTACTTGCCTAGCATGGATGAGGCCTGAGGTTCTATGTTCAATCTCCAATAGGGAGGGGGAAAGGAAGTAAGGAAGAAAATTGGAAAGATCAATACACACACATATAAGTAAAATTAAAGGTAATTTGCAGAACCTGCTTTAGCAAATAGTAATATATAATGAAAAGGTAAATGATCAAAGTATATGGAAACAAATCTTAGAATACACACACACACACACAAACTTAATGTATCCACAACACAATTCATTGGCTAGAGAAATACTCAATAAGTGATACTGAAACTATTTCTCAGTTATCTGGAAAATATAATTTTAATCATCACCTTACTAACGTAAGGTACCAAAATGTATACCAAATGGTTTAAATAAAAAATGAAAAATCCCACGTACAGACCTACCAATATAGGTAAATACTTTATCTTATTTTGGATATTATGGGTGTATAGTTTATTTTGGCTATTATGAGGCTATAGCAATAAAACACAGCAGTAACATGTAAAAATGTAAAAAGGAAAAAAGAAAACCTCATATACATCAAAAATCAACAAACAGAAAATTAAAAGCTGAATAACAAATCAGGAAAAGTATCTGTAACAGCTAATATATTTAATTTGTAGTTACAAAGATCATTATACAAGGCAAATAAGTAAACAGGTTAAGTTGGTAATATGTGATCATGCTTTCTTCTCATTACAGACCTGCAAGTCCCCAGGCTGCCTCCCACAAGGGAACAACCTTCTATGTTTATGTCTCCTTCCAGAAATAGAAGAACCATGACTCCTGTGTGTTTCCTGTCCTCCCCCTTTCACGTACCCAGGAAAGTTCTTCACACTGTTCTCTACTTTGGGTTTTTGTTTTGATGTTGCTTTATTTTTACTTAGTAATATAGCTTGGAAATTGTTACAAATAATCAAAGATTTTTTTTCTTATCATTTTCAGTGTTGTATTGGTTTTTGTTGTATGAAAGTATCAATTATCCAGAGCTCTCACAAATCAGATAGAAAAAAATGGGAAAGGACGTACAAAGGAGCAAGAGAACAAGCAAATGAACGTGTGTGCACACATGCACACACATATACACACAGCTCAATTTCATTTTCAAAGAAAGAAAAAACTAAAACAATTAAATGCAAATTTTCACCCACTGAATTAGCAAATACTTTTAAAGTGTAATTATTCTGCTTTGGCTGAACAGGCGGCGTTCCCATTCATTCCAGACAGGAATGTAATCAGGTTACAGCCACACTGGAGATGGTGTGGTGATGGTCTGACCTTTGACCATCGGCAGGGATCTACCTTCCAGGAATAATGAGGATCACACAAGTATTTATACATATATAGTATAACACTAATTTACTGAAGTGACAAATTAGAAAAAAAAATTGCTATGCCCAACAACAGAATAATTATATTAAGGTATAACCCAAGGACAGACACTGTATGACAACACAACTTTTATGTCATGTTTTTTTTTTGAAGTCTATTTAATGACACAAGAAAGTGAATATGGAAAAACGTTAATTCAAAGCAGCATGATGCAAAGCTGTACAGAGTGTACATTTATTGGGGTGGGGTATGAAATGCAGGAAAATGCATCAAATGGTTATACTGATTATTAGTTATTATAATTTTCTTCTTTACATAATTTTTTCATTTTCTCAATTTTCTGGAAATATATTTTTTAAGTCAGGAAAAAGCATCAAATGTTGTAAAAGGTGATTTCTGCATTCTTCAAAGATAACCAATACACATACAGATACAATCTGTTCTACAGGCATGCCTGAGTGAATTATTACTGTGTGGAGCCCTAGAAAAACACTAATATTACTCATACATTATGATGTCCTACTTTACAAGAGCCTGTTTTGTTGTGCAAATTTATCTCAGAAGAGAAAATTGCATGTGCCCATATGTTCTGGTGCAGCAAGCTCAACAATGAATTAAAGGCCAAATCTAGGTGCTTATATAACCCAGTTAAAATTGGGAGTATTTGTATGAGGAGACTCAATTATCTCTGTTACAAAGAGTCCTTATTTCTCTGCCGAGTGAGAGGCATCTGTCAAAGATAAATTCCTGTCGTTTTCAGATTCTCTTTATCCTCCCTAACAAAAACCAGCCCAGAGAAATGACAGTTGAGTTGCACAAAACCAGTGTTCAGACTTCCAGAGAAACTTGTCTTGAAATCAGAAGTCAAATTCCTGACCTACATCAACCTTAACAAACACATTCCTCTTCAGTAAACAGGCACACATTGATTGCAGGGTACTTCAGGATAAAATCAAGACCCAAAGTCTATGTATTCTTTTCATGAGTATACCACTATAGAGGTTTTATTTTTCACTTGGTATTTAAGCAAGGAAATGTGGAGCCTGCTTATCTTTCTAGCTTTATCTTCCATTCAGTGTCTACTCTGAAGACCACAGCCAGACCAGATTACCACATTCACCAGCACACGTGCTGTCCTTTCACTTCTATGTCTTTCTCAAGCTCTGTATTGCCTTTAACATGAACCCCTCTAAGTCCCAGTTCAAACACCTTGAGGAAGTCTGCTTCAGTCTGCTAACTTGAAACCACCCTTCCTTCTTGAGAAGTCCCACAGCAATTCACATCTTTCTAAAGGAATGTTCCAGACTCCCTTGATGATACAATGGTAAGACACTAGAGATGACTGGAGACACTTAGTGTTCTAGGCCTATTCCTTACCAGCTATGCCACCTGGGAGATGGTTTGACTTCTGATGCTCTGGCTTCTATCTGTGAAATGCACCTTCCGGACAGTTGAGAGAATATTAAATAATGATATAAATATAATAGTAATATAATAAAATACTAATCACATGAAGCAACTAGCAACACATACTTAACAAATGAGTACTGCCTCCCATCAGTAAATTCTCCCACATCAATAATTCTGTGGTATTTTATCATTCTCACAGACACATGTACACACTTGCATGTATACACACATGACTGCAAATACTATGGAAGCAGAGTTGTTTGATCACCTTTTTAATTTCTTACCACTGAATTCTCTAACCTGTATGTATGCAGAAGGCACTAAAAATATTTGTTGGAAAAAAGGAAACAGTATATTCAAACATTAAAACTGCATGTTTCAGAAAATATAACTTGTTTTAAAGAGATAAGAATTAATAATTAAAGCACCAGATAGCATTTCTCTGAGAATAACTATCTAATTACAGACAGCTATATCAATGTCTCAAGTCCCCATGAACACACCAATAAATGTACAGGGTGAACACTTTAGTCACATGTCAATCTGTTCTTTTCCTACACCTGAACTTCTCGTTACCTTCCAGCCTTTGAATCTCCTCAGCTGTCACTTCCAGGGTTTGATCAGACAGGGAAGCAACTTGAATGACCTGACAGAAAAAGAATGAAATGTGTAGATATGTGTATGTTTTTGTTTTTAAACACAGGCAATTCTGTCTTTTACAAAAGACTAGGAAACACCAAACATCAAAGATCTCTTGTTTTAAGAAGCTGTCAGTGTCCGGACAAGAGACTGAATTTCAGGCCCTTTACTTTCAGGGTGGTAATTACAGTGCAGATGAATGTTCCAGAAGAAAAGATTCATTTAAAACATTACTTGAAATCCTTAGCACAAAAACAAACAAACATTACAAATTAAACTTAAAAGACCAAAAGGTTCAGTTAAGACAAGAAACATGAAAAAGCATTTCTACCTACATCTGTGTAGATTTTGATCTCAGAATAACATGCCGTTTCTTGAAAACACACTACTAACATACAGTAACACAGAAGAGTGTTGAAAATTCTCCACACAACACAGAAATAAACCAATATGCTTTACCAATTACCAATAATTACCAGTAATTACCCATATGCTGATTACAGAATTTTACATCTTAACAGTGTCCATTTTTAAAGCCCTTTTCATAAGGCCCCAAACTGAAGTCACATCAATGAGCCTCTTATTTGGAGGTCACAGAGACATCTTGTCAATTATCTTCAAATGGAAGAAGACAGTATCTTGCCCCCATAACAAAATAACTCACAATAGAACAATCTGGAAAGGAGCTCAGTCACAGAAGGAAGTCACTTGTTTTCCATATTGAAAAATACCAAACAATCCTGAATCTAGAATTTTGGGTTCTAAATATTAAATGTATAAAGTAAAATAAAAGCTACTTTACAAATCTGACCATTCAAAATAGAATGTACGTTTATTTACTTTCTAGAACCCTTACTGAAGAGGAAAATTTCACTTCATCCTTGTCTGAAGGAGCCCTGGAGTTAGATCTAGAAATGTTCACAGGAAGCAGCACAAATTTACTCTAGTAGAAAGGTCATTAAACTTACCAGCTGGGCAAAAGTTGTAACTTTTAGTCTCTTGAAAAGCTCATCTTTTTTGTATCTATAATCTGAAACCAGAATAAGACAGATGTTTATTTACAGGTTCATTTTGGGCTTTCTGGGCTACTCATTCTTTCTAGTTATCAAGCTACACGGTGCATCTTTCAGGTTCCGAGCATGCTGTTACATAGATTATCTTGTTCATCTTCATGACATGCGCAAATGAGGCCAGGGAATGTTAATCGCTTTTCTCCTCTTCCTTGGCCACCTGGAAGCACTTGCCTTTCACTGAGCTGACTCTACTGTGGCCATATTCGGTGGCCACATTTTCACAAGCTGCCTCGAACCCTTTTCAGAACAAAGCAAGGAATAAACGTCTACATCTTACAAATGATGACAGCGACCCAGAGAAGTTGAGTGGCCTCAGGCCAAATAGCTGGTAAGGCATTTATACCCTGCTATTCTGACTTCAAAAGAGAGCCATCCTTCTCCTGGGGTTGCAAACTATTTTAGAGACCTAAGACATCACTTACTTGTATATGTGTGCTGGGTGCAAGGTTAGACTGGTCTTCATAATTTCATTTGTGTCGCTTTAAAAATCAACCTATTCAGTTTTACATGAGACAAAAATTGTGGCTATTTTGTACAACAGTGAGAATACACTTAATGCTACTGAAGTTACTGACCACTAGTTCAGATGATAAATTTATGTTTTGTGTTTTTACCACAATGAAAAATCAAATCAAGTAAAAACCAACCCAAACAATTGATGCTCACTCAGTGTCATCCTGATAGTTTTGAAATATAACTCAAACGAGGGACTTCTATAGTTGCGTTAATTCTTTTTATCAGCCAGGCATGGTAGGCATAACCCCAGCAGCTGGGAGGCAGAGGCAGGAGGAGTCTGAGGTTCAAGGCTAGACCTTGTCTCAAAACAAACCAAAACAAAACACAGAAGCAAATAAGAGCAAATATTTCTATCACATTGAGCAGTTATTTTAAAAAATGAGCTAACCTTACTTTTCCAGAATCTGTTGCACTGATTCTCATTAAAAGTTAGCTTCCTTAAACTTTTCTAACAATGACTACTAATTTTAAAGCTTTCATTGTTGAACTATGTCCACCTTTATCCTTCCTTCCTGTTCACGGTTTTTATACTAGTGCCCAGGAGTCCTTAAATATGGCCTCATTATTTCAGAATTACTAAAGGTTAGCTGGATAATTGCCACGGCCCTCGCAGAATGTCTCATAAACCGAGACTCCTAGCAACAAAGGAAAGGATTAAAGGTATTTAAGATTATTTACTTGGTGTTACTAATCAGTTCCATGAATTCTCCAAAAATGTAGCACAAACCGGATAGCTACTTTAGAGGGTAATATAAGCTTGATTTACCAAATATTTTAATAATTAGAGTCAGGAAATAATGCTACCTTAAAAATTAACCATCTGTTAAATATATCAAGGCTCTTTCTTACAGGGAATTAAAACTTCTGTGTTTTAAAATGTCTTGAAGAGAGCAATTTGGCAAGTGGACTATTATTTCTAGAAAATTCTTAGAGCAGCCTTTTCTGGCTACAACAAGGTAATAAACCTGCCTGGATACAAACCCAACAGGCTAAGCAGAGTCTTCAAAAGTACACGTGAACAGCTACAGAATTCTCCCCAAATTGCTACCAGTTTTCCCACCTGAAGTCATTTTCGTAAACCAAAGTAGCAATAAATTAGACAACAGAAAAAGCCAATAGCTTTCAAGGAATCTGTATTTTGATATGTACCACTGATATTCTTTTGGTATAGTTACATAGCTTGCAATACTTCCAAGTATAAAATGTACACATTAAAATCCCCTCTAACTAAGCAAAGATTATACTACATCAACACCAATCTGCTATGGTCTGCAGGCTGGCCTTCCTACTGTCTTCTGCATAAGCCCTCGGAGCCCCCTACATATTGGTGCCTAGATGCTACATACCTGGTTCTGGTTTAGAAGGACAGCCATCAGTAGGACTTTCTGACATTATTACTCAGAGATAAAAGATCAAACTAAAGTCTTACACTAAGTTTTAAATTTTATAAGAAAGGATGACTTGGAAGGCTCTGTCAGTCTGTCCTCACAAGAGCGACCACAGCTTTAAGAATGGAGCTTCTGCTACTTGGGCTCCTCTCGGGACTCTGTAGGAGACAGATTATCCCAGCTCAGATACATTATCAAGGTTTGCTTCTCCAGTGAGCCTGGGGTGTGGGCCCACCTCTCTCAAGTTACTGGAAGGACAGAGACCTGACTATCTAGTATGTTTCACACTGGGTCCAACTAGTGTCATTTAACCACCAGGCCCCAAGAATAGGCTTTGTCAATGGTCAATAGCACAGAGCCTCTATTTTCCCCAGGTATAGTTGAAAGAATGTTCAGATTACAAAGGATTTCTGCATTTTCAGGGTTCTGTTAAATGCGATATTAGCAAAGAAAAGGAAGTTGGATTCAGAGTGGAAGACAAATCAAAGAAAGTAACAGAGCAAGGTTTGTGATTTCACAGACAGATGTGGCATCTGAGGTAAGGCAAGCAAAGAGCTGGGTCTAGGGTGTCGAGAAACAAGGAAGCATTCTCCTCTCTTCTGACCCAAGAGAAACTCAGCACAAAAAAAGATGAAGAAAAGGAAACAGTTTCTACAACGCAGATGCCAAACCAGAATCTAAAGTACAGCTGTCGAGTGGGCACAAAGCATGCGATCAAGGCGAGAGGAAACCCAGGGCTTCTACAGACAGGCGGGAGGGAGCATTCTCAAGGACTTGATTCCCAGAGTTCTTTGGGGAAGATAATCTCCATTTAAAAGTTTAGATATTCAAGAAACCACATTGTACTCTTAAGAAATGCTTTAAAGCAAAGTTTAGCCAATCTGGGAGGAACGGGACATTTTTTATGGGACAAATTTCTGGTAAAGACATGTGAGCTCACATTTAGCTTCAAATGGAAGGGAACCGAGAGAGACCACAAACCCAAATAGAAGTAGGCAGGCTGGAAGCTGTCGCCTTACATGAGCTGAGGATGACAACAGTGCAGTGTGGGTGAGTAAACATGATTTTCTTTCGTAGTTTGGAAATTTAATATATCTTATATATAAAGATATATACTTACATAATAATGTAAAACGCCTAGGAAGAAAAGAGAAGGATCCTGTGACATTAAAAGTATCTCTAGCACTGGTTCTTAGAGTTGAGTACAGTAAATAAATGCAGGAGAAAGCAGCTCCCTAGTCCACATCTATGGGTTGCCCCATAGATGAACTGCTACACTGCAGCAATTCAAAAGACAATATCGTTTTAAATGAAAAGGTCTGTTATGTCAAAAAAAAGTTCTGGTATATTTTAGAATTGTAATTTTCCCTCCCAAGAAGATGAATATTAGCAGGACCAAATCCTGAACTGGAACAGAAATACTTCTTCGCCACCATTTGCCAAATACTCCCCTAGCTCTCTGTTTTCCTGCTTGTGACACAGCAAATCCATCTTGGGAAACACGTTTCTACATCTTCTTTAATTCTGGCCTCAATGTTCATATTTTCTTGATTGGTTTTGGACACAGATTGAAAAATGATGGTCTGTGGAAGGAAATGCATTCAGTGACTAGTAAGATATCTCTTCAGGAGATTAGCTTTTAAAAAGGATGTGCATGAAACACGATTTTTAATTAAAGGAAAACAGCCTGGATGGATGGCTAAAGAACACTAAGAACAAGTTTGCCTCTTACACATCTTACTCCTTCATGAATATGCTCCAATTTAAACTCATAAGAAAATTATGAAGAGAGCTCTTATGAAGAGAGCTATCATTACCCTATCTCAGGTACAGACCAAATAGAAAAGAAGAGCGAGTCCCAGATAAAAGGCCAGAGAGACTGCAGCACAACAAACCAGAAGCTTGGGCTGTGACTGTTTCAAAGAACTCATCCACATTCTAACATTAAAGTCATCTATGGGATGTAAATTAGGCAGACACTGGACATAAGGGTAACTAGTGTCTGGCTCACCTGACCCCCACAGCTCTCCACACATGGCAGCTCTAAGTATGGTGGTTAGTTGATAACCAGCTTTTAGAAAACTACAGAGGTCCATTTTCCCCAAGCCATCAACATTGTTACTTACTCTTTTTGATCTCTTCTAGCTTCTCAATATATTTTGTCATACTGTTACCTGGAAAGAAAAGACAAATTTTAGATACGCTAAGTGCTAAGTGCCAGGAAATGAGTACCACTGTGGAAACAGAATGGAGAACACGCATGCACTCCCCAAGCTTTTCATCCCGTTCCTATGGAACTTTGGACACCAGGCAAATGAGCCACATATGGTAAAGTCTTTTGGATTCACAGCACCAGTTAAAGATATGGAACCAAGGAAAGCGTTGTGATCTACTGAGTTTAAGGTGGGGTGCATTGCCCTCCCAAAAACCATTTCACAGTCTCAGGCAATACAGATGACCATTTATACTTTGCTTTCCTTTTATTTCCTTCTTGAGTCGTAGCTTTCTTCTTCCTTCGAGCCCCCATAATCTTTTGTGGGTTGGATACATGAGGATGATGAAGAAAGCAGCAATATTCTTTGAATGTCTAAAACATGCCTCTGTGGCTACCCAAGCAACCCTCTCCTCTCTGCTTTGTCTTTATGGCTTCTTCCTCTTCCCTGAACTTGGCATTCCACTATTCATGCTGATGTTGCAGCCTGAACTAGACCACACAATCTAGTATTCACCATGGACTTGATGTGCTAAGCTTCCCACAGCTATGGAGTGGACCCAGCCCTCATGTTTTATGGTCTGGTTCTACAATACTAGGTTCTAGCCAAGGTGGTTTGGAGAGTTTTCATACTTTCAAACTGGTCCGTGATCATTCTGGTTTCTAAGTGAATTAAATTCTAGCTTTCAAGCCAGGACTTTTTTTTCCTTGAGTATGCTACGAGTTGATTTGATTCAATACAGCAAGTTCTATCTGGCACCTAAAAATATGGCAAATGAAAAACATTCCTAATATTTTCTCATTTCTATAATTTTGCTCCACTTTAAACCTTGAGAGGATTAAGTTAGTTTCAGCTCAACTTTAGATCAAAGAAATGTTTTCAATTAATGGCACAAACTGATGTTTGAAAATACTATTCTGAACTTTTCTTCATGTTTGGGTCAGAAGCAGAGGGAAAAGAAATCCTGGCTTTAAACCCCCAAATGTATTTTCCAAATAATATCTTACCTGATTTGTTATTGTTAATAAACCTACCATGAATTCATCATGGAATTAAAAATCTACTATTTTAGGTTTTGAAAAAATTATTGTTGTTTTCATCTTAAGATGTACGCTTTATATCAGAACAGTGCCCTGTTTGCAATGTACTCTTAAATCCAGAAGCTCAGAGAGACATGAAGTCTGTTAGGGCTGCTCAGAGGCCTGAAACCTTCCCTAGAGATACCAAGTGTGTCTCCAAGAGGCTCCCAAGCCAAGAAGAGGACAAGAAGCAAACACAACCTGTTTCAGGTTCTTTGGGTTTTTCTTTTTTGACTCAAGCTTTTTTCCTCCTTATAGCCCCCATAATCTTCTGTGGAAGGATATACAGAGAAGGAAAAGGAAAGAAGAAATACTCTTTAGTGTCTAAAATGTGCCTTTTGACCTGAGAATTGACCTGGGAATTCCAGAGTAGAAGCCATAAATTCTTTCCATCTCTCTTCCTTACTGCAACTCTGAACTCAAGTGTAGACTTGCCTGATCAATATATGAGGTTGTGAAGAAAAAAGTCAATCTGTATACTGTTTAGCTTCTCATGGTCTTATTCTGAAAATATTAGACAAAGTAACTTTGGTTACAGGTCCCTGTGTCCCCTATACTGTGTGCAGTTCAAGTGGCAGTTTCCTGGGACTCAGAAAGCCTCAGGCAGTCAAGCCAAAAAACCTGGAAAACAAAAAGTCTTATCAATTTGTCCAGTGATGCAAGAGTTAGTAACTATGCTAGGATTAACATTCCCAACCTCCTGGTTTCTAATATGGCTCAAAAGACCACCTGGCTTCTTCATTTGTGTTTTATATTATTATCTATAGTGCTGGAGATTGAACCCCAGGCCTCCTGCATGAAAGGACTCTACTCTGAGCTATATCTACAGTTCTTGTGTTGTTTTAACTGGGAGGAGGTAAGCTTGTAGGACGTGTTATTTCTTTCTTTACAGAACCATCTGATGGTATGAACTTCCTGAGGAATGAAGAACAACAACCAGTCTCCCTTATTTCATTTTTATTATTAAAATACTGTAGTTCTAACTAATAATGTTTCTAATAACAAAGTATCTTTAAATTTTTTTTTTGCAGTACTGAGGACTGAACCCAGAGCCTTACATATATGAGGCAAGTGCTCTACCACAGAGCTACATGTCCAGTCCTAGAGTGGATTTCTTTATTAACTACATCTTCAGTGTTTGTATACAGCAGGTCTTCACAATATTGCTGAGGCGAGCAGTCTCACCCACTATTTGTTTTTCCTACTAAAGGCAAAGGCAGAAAAACAAAATCTTTTGCAGTTATACAAAAAATTGGCAAAATTATGAACAAGTCCAAGAGGGCTGTTAACAAAAGGCTGTTTTTGTGACAGACATTTATTCTTATCCCAGGATAGAGGAGACAAAAAGAATGGAGGATTTCCACATTGCTTCAACTAGAGAAATGAGGCAGTATGATCAGACCCAAAACCCCCTGGAAATGACTCTGTATGAAAAGTAGAGTTTTATCACACTCTGTAAGTTGTTTATCAACTAAGTGTTTCATCTTATCTAATTGCATGAGAAAATAGTTTTTGACTACCTTCTAAAATGACTGGAAATAAATTAACTTTATTCCTCATTTGTTCATAAATATGTCTTTTATGCGAAAGGAGCCTAAAAACCTATCAGAGAACTAATCTTTTACAAATTTTTGAAATCATACAGTATTGCCAAAATTTCCTAAAGAAGACTAATTAAAAAGCAAAACCAAACAAAATGAAAAGCTCAGTGGCCCCCCATGGCTTAGTACTTAAGAGTTCCTTGCTCTTGTGCTGCTCCTGGCAGACTTCCTCAGCACTGCCTTAATTACTAAACTGTTAGTCTTCATTCTCTTGCACATCACTGTGATGGCTTACCCAGCAGGAAGTAGCCTTTCCCTCCTTTCAACTCCTAGGCCCTCAGCTTGCCACTCCCGAAATTTAAGATAATCTTATCTACCTTATTTAACAGAAAGCCCAGGATTATTTATCTGTGCACAGAGACATGTGCCCACACACTCACAATCTTTATTCTTGTTTTCTAGTGTAGAAGTCACTAAAAACACTTGCTGAATGAAATGTACTATGAGACTCCAACATTTGAAAAACCCTTTTGGCAGGTTATTTTATAATGTAAATAATCACATCACAATTTGGCCGGAGTTTCATACACCTGATTTTCTTTAACCTATGTGCAGCTTGATTTATACATAATTATGTTATAGAATACACATATAACCCATTGAATCAGGCAAACTAGAAAAGCAGAAGGTGGTATTTAGCATCTACCTTGTTTACAACTGAAGTTGCAATGAAAGATCTAACTAGAGTTTTACAACTAGAATCAAGAGAAAGAAACAATTCAACTCTATCAATAGTCCTGTGCAAAGACAGAGTACAATCGATTAACTGGGTGACTCATTACTTGGGTTTTTTTTCCATTGTGTTCCTATAATTTAATAACATTATTTGTACTGAGCATTGTAACAAAAGCAAATGATTCTGAGAAGCAGTAATTTAGAGACGGTAAGATTTATAAGGCAGGAATTCAGTTGCTAAGAGACAACTCCGTGGCTTTATTTTTCCTTCAATATTTCCTTCAACTACGGAGAAGTTCTTTTGGCTCAGAAGGAGCAGAAACTGTAAAAAGGGTCAGTGGTCCTTTGTTAACCTCAATCAACCATACGTGTGCACAGTGCTGTCTGGTTTGTAAAAGCTTTTCACATACATTTCTTCCTTTGACCTAAGAGACAGAATTAAATACCAGATAAAAATGAAAAGCACCTAGTCTGTAATGAGCTCCGGTGCTTAGATCAAGACTATTAGCGAATATTCGAGAAAAATAAAGACTAAAGAAGAAAAAAGGAAATGATTAGATGTGCAGATCTAACAAAAAGAAGACAACTTTTACAAAAATAAAAATAAGGTTAGAGAAGACTGAGTGAAAGAGGCCCACAGGATTTGGAAAGCTAAAGAAATGTGAATTAGATTGAAAAAGAAGACAAGTGTGATAGGTCAATGCAGCTAAGGGTAGAAAAGTCTAACCCAGGGGGAGCCCATGGTTTTAGAAAGTGTCGCTCAATCAAGCCCACAGCGCTGCAGAACAGACCCAGAGAGGGTGCTTAGAACACACAGAACCCTGAGGCTGCAACTGAGCAAGGTGCCCACAACATGGTCCCAAAAGCATAAGCCACTCCAGGCCCAGTCTGGCAATGCTAGGGACCTGAAAAGACAAACCCAAGGTACCTATGGGACATAAGAAATACTGGAAGCTCAAAATAATTCTGAGATGTCTAGCCACAGCTGCACAGCAGTGTTTGGGTTTCTGTGAGAAGTAGAGTCAGGAGCATAGAGACAAAAATAATCTTTACCCAGGAGGAGGACACCAGTCTTTGAAAAATTTGGTAGAAGGTAATTTGGGTGAAGACAAAAGAGACCACAGAATTCTTGATTTCTTGTAATTGATTCTGAATTGATCAGTCTGGTGAGAAAAGACTAGAGACTCACTTAGCCTAGGAATGGGAACTGCTGGATCATTCCTCTGTCTATTTATTTCTACTGCTCTGGCTACAGAGCTTAAAAACATTCCATAGGTCTTGGGAGGCAGAGGCAGATGGATCTGGTCTACACAGTGAGTTCCAAGTGAGCCAAGGATACTGAGTAAAACCCTGTCTCAAAAAAAAAAAAAAAAAAAAAAAAAAAAAAAAAAAAAAAAAAAAAAAAAAAAAAAGAAAAGAAAAAGAAAAAAGAAAAACACAAACAAACAAAAAAAACCCAAACCAAAACAAACCAAGCAAACATCCCACAGATGAGAACTCTTCCCTGACCTGGGTTCAAAGGTCCCTTTTAAGTGTCCTTCACCAGGACTCATCAATTCTTTCACCTCACAGCAATGATAATCTTTGGGCAAAATGACGTAGTTAG